ATCAGCTGATTTTCGTTGGGGTCTTCGACATTGCCGTGATCGACAGTGGTGCATTGGCCGGGCCCTATTGTCAGCGCAGTAGGTCAACTTGCAGATGAATGGGTAAGTCGAATTTCAATTATTTCTCTATTAACCCTTTGCATTCGAGGAATGTTTCGGTACGCAGAAATCCAGTTTGCTTTTTCAGTACAGTTTTTGATAACAAACGGTTACAAATGGTTCTTACCGTATTTATTTTAATTTTCTGATAATAATTTTTATTTTAATTTTAAAACACTGGCAAGAAGCGTCACTCGGGTGCGAAGGGTTAATTTTCTAAAAATTCCGAGATTTTATTCCTTCTTCCTTAGAAACAGCGAATACAAATAATTAATAAATTCGATTTAGTAATTTACGTACTAATTACGTAGTAATTAACGAATTAGGTAACAATTGCAGTGGCAGTATTTTTAATTATTTGTATTCGTTCCTCGATGTATCTTCAACGCACATCTTGCTACCTACCCAGCGCGATGGCTCTCCGAGGTCGGACGGCTCTGAGCGCGCGAAGGCGAGCGCCGTGATTGGTCAGTGTTTTTCATTAATAATTCAAAAACGAAGCCCCATCCGACATTTTTGCAAAGGAAATTGTTATTCAGAATCGTCTCAGCTACCCCCCATTTCCGGTTCTTACACTATTTACGGAACACCCTATTATGTATAGGCTATTACAAGGATCAGCATCGTTAGAACACGAGCTTTTTTCTTTCAACAATTCTCATCCGGATCCCAACACAAATTTGGAGCAGTCGGTAGGACACCCGACACACTACGAACCAGTCAGTGTTAATGAAACAATTGTCCCACTGAGCGTAAGTGTCAACTTTAACGGGTTGCAGGTAAAGAAGAACAGGACTGCAGCGGAAACATCCATCGACCCGGTCCATCGACTTGGTTGAACCTCCTGGGACCAGAGAAATCTGCAGAAGCTCCAGCACCAGCATGGATCAGCTTCAGAAAGAGAAAAAATAAGTTGCATTGTAAGTACTCAAATTCAAATATTCAATCTTCCGGCAAGAAACTTCTTGTCTTTCCAATCCCAATATGTCTCAAGACGAAGCGAACACAACAACTCGAGTACGAAGAGAACAACTTTCACTAGAATTATTAATCATACTATTACTGGAACCATTTGATGGCAATTCTTGTAAACTTCGTTCATTTATAAATCAAGTTGATTCCACGTTCGAATTAGCTACTCCTTCATAAGAACAGATTTTACTAGTGTTTAAAAAGAAAAGAATTATTGGTAAAGCAGAAGATCAAGTCGATATTCACTGTAAGCTCGCATCATGGGCTGAAATTTCTGAACTTTTGCTTTTATATCAAGATAAAAATCATTCGATCAGTTAATGGAAGAATTAACTTCAGTTAAGCAAGAAAGAGGTGAAAATGTTTCGCAATTCTACCAAAGATTAGAACACCTTTCGTCACGAATTCTCGCGAATATTTATGCTACAGAAACAAAAGACAATTCACTATCGAGTAGAATAGCTTTAATTAACGAGCTAACCATGAAGCGCTTTGTTTATCACGCGCATCCGCAGGTATCTCAAATGTTAAGGTACCGCGATTTTAACAATATAAATAGTGCCCTGACGGCAGCCGTAACAAAAGAGAAAGTCCACCGTTTGAAATACGAACATTTTTCCGACCTAAACTGCAGAATCTGCTTGCGAACAAACCATACTACAAGTGAATGTCACATAAATCAAAATAGAATGAAACCTTCTATTAATAGATATGTAAATTTTAATGAACTCAAACAAAATAATACTATCTCTGAAATGAAGCAATGCAGGTACCGTACAAATTTGGGGCATATTGTAGAAGAATGCAGTAGTATAGCTAGGCGGGTTCTAACCCCAAGGGAAATGAGGGGTGCGTGGGGTGCGGGGGAAGTGTTGGCGCGCGGGGAGTGTGGCGCGGGGAACCCATGGCGCGGGGCCTGCGGGGAGTGGAAAATTGGTTGCGCGCGCATGAACCGCGGAGTGGGGGATGGCGCAATCGTGAAGGGGATTAGGCCAGGCCGAGCCTCCGTGGAGACCTCTCTAAATCTGGCCCACCGTCGGAAATTTTTTCAGAGGGAGGGAGGGAATGATCCCCGAAAACTTTTTTCAGACCCCGATCCACCACCGGAAATTTTTTTCCGAGGAAAGGGACAACCTTGGTCCACCCCCGCACCGATCTAGCGAATCAATATGTAGCGAATCAATGCCGCATCGATCGGAGAAATGGCATTGATATGCAATATTTGCAATTGCATTTATTCTGAAGCAAATCATTTTTCAAAATGTTTTTTTCAATCTTAACGTCGTAGCGTATCGCGCGATCGCATGTAATTTGAATCCTCTAGAGCAGCCGCGCCGAATGACATCATTTTAGCAGTGTGAATAAGACACGAATGAAATATGATACCTGTTGAAGTCAAACGCGTCACAGTCGAGAATCATAGAAAGAATTATGCTGTGTCGATAGAAATGGATGAGGAGAGAAAGAGGAAGATGGGTAAGTAAATGGAGAAATAATAGGATTTATAATTATATATTGTTACATATAAGGATATAAAAATACAATATATATGAAAAATTAAAAAAAGATAAAAAGAAAAGAAATAGAATAAAAGAAAAAATATAAAATAAAATTAAATAAAAGTATTAAAAATTAAAAATCAGCGCAACTGCGGCGGCGATGGAGGCGACGGCCGCGGCTCACGCGCGTCGATCCATGGCGGTGACGGTGGCGAAGGTGGTGGCGACGGCGTATGAGGTGGCGATGGCGTACTGGGTGGCGATGGCGAGGGAGGTGAAGGCGGTGAGTTCTAGAACCCACAAAAACCGATATGAATCCTCCCGAATACTACGATATACGTCATTAGAGACAACGCCACGAATGCGTTCTTGAGCACCTCCATATTTTCTTCACGAAATATACTTACCGCGTCACGTTGTTGTTCCCGATGTGCGTGCGTGCGTGCGTGCGTGCGTGCGTGCGTGTGTGTGTGCACACGCCTCTCCCACCTCCTACTCCTCAATCTCCTCCAGCTCTGACAGTTTTGAATACGCCTCTAATTTTATTGCATTAAGATGTATGTATCACGATAACTTGTGCCCGACGTTTAATACTGTCGCTTACACCGTCTGAACACTGAAACACTTCGATAAGTTCTAGCACATTGTCACACCTCTCCATAAAATCACTACATTGTGTAGCAGTACACAAACTCCTACAGTCCTTGGTCAACGTGATAATCGTGCGTTTGAACATGTCCATTGCGCCCGAACATGTGTGAACTCGGTTACGCTCCGATTTAAATATATACGATCCTTCCTACCTAAAATCCCTGATCCTCTGGGACAGCTGCATGAGATGACATCATTTGGCGGCATGAAGAACTTGCGAATGAAATATAATACTTTTGAAACGTCGCATCTTAGAATTAGGTGACGAGGAGAAAAGGTGGAAGACGGTTAAATAAAATTGGAGAAATAATATATGTTTTAAATGATAATATATTGTTACATTTTTTCCTACGAGCATCAACTACAATATCATTGATGGCTCATCCTAACAGTTTGCAATCTACAAGATAATCCTTGTAGTAATATTCGCTGTCACTTATGATTTTAGCAGCACTACGTGTATCTAATGTTTCGGAGACAGCATCGCTCTGTTGCAACACGTTAACAAAAGTTTTAAATTTTTTCCTCACATCTTCTGCAGTTTGATAGAGCCGCGGATACACATAGCTTACACACGGCTCAAGATTAAATAAAAATGTTACTGTATTCGTTTTGAAATACAGCGACTTAGTATCCATTGTCATCTTTACAATCGGTGAACGTGTCTCATACCACTTTGAACATCTACTGTACTACTTTTGAACATCTATCGTACCACTTTAAACATGAATCGTACCACTTTGAACGTGTATGGTACCCATTTGAACATATATGGTACCACTTTTACATAATAATTATGTGGGAAATTGAGGGAACAATAACGAAACGTCACTTTCAACTATCAAAACGCTTTTTATTCTTCCGCTCTCTTCGACGTCTCAATTGCTAATGCCCCTTACTCGGCCTGCCGCGTTTCCAAACATCCTCACACACACACGTTCACACATGCATTCCAAGCGATAACGCACCGATTATCCATACCTCACAATACGACACCTCGGGCCAGGCCCGGCATCCCACAATTATAACTATCGTCTTAATCTAGCGTACATCACGTGCAGGAGGTTAGGTTGGGGAGGGATGAAGAAAAAAAACATTTGTGCATTAAAAATTGATTATATTTTTATTTATGCATTTCTCTCTGGCGTTTAGACCACCAGTTGAATATTTTAAATACATTTTGCAAGGCACAATGCTTTGCGTGTCTGTCACATCGTAAGGTATGAAGTGCATTTAGCTTTTTTAAAGATATGATATCCTCGTAGTCCATATCCAGTGTCTCAATGATCACGCTCGCTCTCGTATTTTCATCGAGGAAATCCGCAAGCCAGTCTCGTTTCTGCAGCCCTTTAACATATGCGATCTGCGGTGCGTCATCTTCTTCATCGACAACAGCTTTCGTAATTAGCTGTTTAGCCATACTGTACGGAACGTCTCCATCTTCCCACCGCAGTCCGTGATGTTTTGCCGTCAACCATCGGATGCATGATTTGTCAGATTTCGTAAGAAGATATTGCGGCATCGAACTCCCAAATATGTAATGCGAGAGAATTGTTCCTTTTCGTAGAACAGCCACTTCCTTCACAACAAATCTTCCATCAACGATGAACCCTTGCATGTCAACAAATGTTGGTACGCTCATTATCGGAACAATTTAGAGATCCGCTCATTTCCAAGACAGGCGGGAGAATGTGGTCTTTCTCGTAAAGCATCTCGATTTTCATGATGAAAATTTGTACGAATTTGGCACACGAGAGGGCAAGTAAGTAGCGTTGGGATTTAATTGATTTTGCGCACCACGTTTGTCAGCGGATTGTATTCAACCACCCGATCATGCAAAATGAGACAGTAGGCCGTAGTATTTGCTGGCACATTCTCTTTACAATCGAATTCTATGCGCACGTCCACGGTGCTATTCTTGATCGACTCATTTTGTCGCGAGCAGTCAATCACCACGAGGGGGCCAAATTGTAAAAATTGGGCAACGGTGAATAATGCCTCGTTGCAACTATGTCCGTAATACGATTTACGGAAATGCGTATACATGCTAAACAAGATGGCGTGTCTATTCTTGTCAAAGTCCAAGTTCATGTCATCGTACGGATAAAATTCCGAGTTGAGAAAAAGTTTTACATTGGTCAATTTGCAGTGGTCAAACCGAGTAGCATCTTCGGTCATCACATTCTTTCGAGCAGTCTGTAGAGCAAAGAGAACATATCGCGGCTTCTCCAGCTGTGCGGCTGCCTTGACGGCCCACGAATGCTTGGTCGTGCTCTGTAAGAGAGGATATTCGTACAGATCCCACGAGTGAAAACTAATGCTCAGGTTTTGCCCACTTTCCAAGGCATGTAGCAGCGATTGCTTATTAACATCGTTTAGCGTCACATGAGGCATCCGCCATTGCACTTTAAGTAATTCAATTTCTGGTTCCAACGTTGAAGGTCCAATTAGAGAATTGTTATCGTTGCGCGATCGTATTAAAATCAATTCGTGACGCGCATTAATAACCATGCGTTTGTAGTCCTCGCAAAATCCCAGCAAATATTTGAGCGGGACGCAAAAATTGAAATGATTTTTCACTACTAGCTCGTCGTGTCGTTTCAAGCCCCATCCAGCATTCTCCATATTTTTGTCTTCATCGGATGTCAGTGATACATAATTTTTAAGCGTGCTAGTTATCCCAACGTTTCTGTTGCGATCAATCTCCACACCATTCAGCTCATATCGAATCTCATCAAATATGAACGCCATGCAATTATTTCCCAACATCACCGTTGAAGCATCATTTGGCTTATGTATCGTCAATTTCCCCTCCACGTAGAGGAAACTTTCACACGGCAATGTGTATAAATCTTGCTGTTGTATAGGTATTCTTATCTCATCACTGTGTCCAAACGTTGTGTTAACGTATGGGTTGTATGTGTGAGTCTCGAGCTTAACAATGCGATCATCAAACGTCGGCTTCCCTCCAATGCTTAGAATGTCAGCCATTTTCAACTTAAATGCGCACAATGAATCCCAATGATTTCAAAAATGCAATGTTTGCAGCACTGAGCCTCTTCGTTTTAGCGTACTCAGAGCTGTTGTTGTTGTTGTTGTAGACAATTTCGTTTGGAAGAAACGTGTTTCTGGAGTCGTTCAACACAAGCATCTCATTCGTTCGCACCACAGGTATTATCGTCGTCGTCGTCGCACGTGCAGTCTGATGGTAATCTCTTCACCTCGAAAATCCAGCAATCGTCCGTTTTGATCCACAACGCGTATCGTTAGATCCGTAATGATCCTTGCGGTGATTGGAAGGTAAATGATCTGTGCGGGCGTTTCCGATATCTTATATCCGGGCGGGACTCTCGGAGAAAATTCATGTATCGTATGTACACGCTTCCCATTGTTGTACGCGCCAGCGGTCACACTACATTCAATGCGAATAATGTTTACGCTCATGATATTAATCGGGTCGTCCGATTCGTGCCACTGCCCCGGTTCTAATTCCCGATTCGCCGAGAATCCCAATAGCGATCCAATGTTATTGGGTTTCGTAAAGTCTACCGCAAACGAGCAGTACAGCTCGCTTTTCATGGTGTTGTTGTTGGGGCGTAACACTATAGGATGCATATCATTGTCACCATCATCATCGGTACCACCGAGATTTTGAGGATATCGCTCAAGTAATCGCTGCTTCAAATACTTGGCAATGGCGTCTAGTTCGTAGGAGCCGTGGGGAATCGTAATGTATTCGTGGCCAGTGTCGACGCTGTTGTTGTTGTTGGTGTCATAGTTTGTGGTGAAGTAGAATTTATCGTTGCTCGAGTCGATGTTGGGTATTGTATGATACGTTTCAAAGGTTGTTAGACCAAGCTCGTAATCATCGTCGCTCAAATCTATGGGTGGAAAGTAGCTTACAACGAGGGTGCTACTCTTGCCAGTTAGAGTCAATGTTAACGACATATTCCGAGAAACTGCTCGACTAGTACTGAATCAGAGTGGCGGGGGACAATCCTTAAATTTGGTGCCAATCGTTTGTAGAAAGCGTAGACATAGTTGTCCACAATTGCTCTGATCATACTCCTGATAAGACGTTCGATTGTATTCAATTTTCACATCATCATTATCCAAATATTGTGTCAATTCCTTAGGCGGTCGAAGATTGCCAAAGCTGTCGAAGTATACAGCTCGATGCCCTCTCTTCGCATACGCCACCCAATGAGTCCCCGGTCCCTCGACATTGTCCAAATTCACGATACCGCTCTCGTTTCGACGTACTCCTCCGGCTGGTAGCGCGTTGCGCATAAAAACACCTCTAAAGAATGGAATACGCATACGTTTTGCCAACTCATTCAATTGCATGTCGGTAGTTACACCCACAGGAATTTTTATTGTCTTTTCGGCGTTTTTTTTTGTTTTTTCGTTTCGAGATTCCCTGTCCGCGCTTGTATGGTGTCAGATAGAGTCCACGACCTTCCATGGAGCGATTATGACGCCGCATTTCCTGCAGCTGACGTTGCGCTGCCTTATTATCGTTTACCGCCTTGGCGATCCCCGCCGCTCCGCCAGCTAATGATCCGAGAACACCTAGCAGCGGGAGAAGTGGTAATATACCACCCCGTTTGGCCACTGGAAGAATCCGCTTTTGCGATGCTTTTCTTACAGTCCTTTTGCGGGGTTTTGTTTTCATCCCCATTCCGATTTTCGTCTTGGCCTTCATAGCTGCCCAAACAGCTGTAGCAGCTCCTCTTTCACCCAGAGTCGAGTCTCGCGCAACGATGCGTTTTCGCGCTTTGTCAGCGAGTACGTTATCTGCTGCGTGCCTTTCGCCGAGGTCGTTGCTACGCGAATATGCAATATCGTGTTCGCGACACGCTGCGTCCAACGGATTGATGCCTCGATCACCTCTAGCCAATCGTTTTGCCAGATGAGTTCCTGGACCACAAAACTGATATCCTGGGATATGTAATTCGATAGGTAGCGCGTTTATCGCTCGATTTAACAAACCACCGCCTTTCTTTACTCTCGTCGGCAACATTCGCTGCAGTTTTTAATCAGCGGTGCTGGACCGTCGATATGCGTTCGCTGCCAAGGGCGATTATAATGTTCCAGACACCGACGATACTGCCGAACCTCAGAATCGGCTTTTATATGCTCGGGGAGTCTGTTCCACAACTGGTCAATGTGTCTGCCAAATTCGTGAAGTAGAATAATCTTTGGTATATATATCAGCTGCTCAGAGGTTATGTCTCGAATGTCGCAATTATCCGACAGAACGAGAAGCATTTCGTATACTGAGCTGTTTTGCTTCGACGCGGACCTATAAATAGGACGCATAGTCGCTTCGATGTGTCAAAAATCATTTTCGCGGTTTGCAGCGAGGATGCGATTCGTGCGACAACCTGTGACTATACGCGTGACAAATTTTGATGATAAATCGCAAATGATGTCCTCGAAAACAAAACGCAGACACGGTAGCATGCTGCCAAACACTATCTGCAGCCTCATTTGCGGCCCATCAAATTGCGGAAAGACCAATGTGCTGGTGAGCTTGTTGGAAAGTCCTCACGGCGTTCGCTTCGAGAACGTGTACGTGTATTCCAAGTCGTTGCAGCAGCCGAAATATCAGTATTTGGAGAATTTATTGGCTCCGATAGATGAAATTGGCTACTTCACGTTTTCAAATAACAGTGACGTCATCCTACCGAGCGAATCGCTTCCGAATTCCATTTTTATCTTTGATGACGTGGCATGCGACAAGCAAGATACGATGCGAGAATACTTTGCAATGGGGCGCCATTCGAACGTTGACTGTTTCTATCTCTGTCAGACGTATGCAAAGATTCCCAAACATCTTATACGTGACAATGCAAATCTGCTGATTCTGTTTAAGCAGGATGGCACCAACTTGAAACATGTGTACAACGATCACGTAAACACTGACATGTCTTACGAGGATTTCTGCGCTTTGTGTCGCAATTGTTGGCAACGGGAGTACGGTTTCGTGGTGATAGACAAGGATTGCGCGATGTCCAATGGACGTTATAGAAAGGGATTTAACGAGTTTGCGGTACCGTGAGGTGGTCAATCGTCATCGACACGTCGGTGGAAAAGCAACGTCTGCGGCACAATGATTGATATCGATAGTCTGGAGATTAAGGATCGCGAGAGAATAGCGAAGGAAATTGCAAAAACCAGTGATTCCATTCGCAAGAAACATCAGGCTTTGAAGACTGGCAAGATGGAGGAAGATATCGCGTTGGAGAGATACTTTAAACCTGTTGTTGAGCCTTTAAAACATATTGTGGAAAATACAACAGCGACAAAAGCTGACACGCCATCGCTGACGAGCACGAACGTTGAAGGGAATGAAACATTAACACATAAACCAAAAATCCAACCGAAAGGGAACACATCACATAAGCGAAATAGAAAACGATTATACACGTCATCGGAAAATTCGCTCGTAACCTCCACACCAGTTCAATCGAAGCGGAAACAACCGAATGTCATGTCAAACGATTCCCCGGTTCCGCCTGCACCAATAAATATATTTCCCGATGTACAGTCGATCGCAACCACTGCTGAAGACGTTTACGAAACTTCTGCCGATGAGTCATTTGCAACATCTATTAGGCATGAACTCCAAACATCCGAGGGGCAACAAACATTTCGCAATCATTTCGGTCCGTTGGGGCAAAAATACATGCGTGCCATCCTAAGTGGTGATAGGGATACGATCATGGATCATGTGTATGGAGTATACTTTGACAATAGTGGAACGATGCTTGGGGACAAGGCTTTCGATATGGACAAGGATGATAATATAATCATAGATGGTGTAAAATATGGAGGAACTCCCGGTCTTTATGAACTTATTTTCAAGAGAATTCCCGACGACGCCATATACACAGATGCTGATAGGCAAGAATACAAAAGTATACTACTGACAACAAATGCTCACAGACGTGGCCATAACGCACAAAATCCTATAATGGGTAACAAGGGATACAAGTATAAACATGTAATTGCGCCGCTACTACCCCGTGTATCTGTCAGTAAGGCAGGGAAAGGCCTGCCGGTTCCGCATGTCATGACGGTAAATGATAACAAGATCGATTACGTGCACTGGGACGATTCCAACGAGCTGGTGGATCAACTCCGTTTGTTGGAAGCGTCGCGTCAGGCGGGTAACAACTCGCATGGCCATGAAATTCTATCGATTATCGAGGAACTCCGCGAGGTAGGCCTCATTATAAATTAAACCGCGCACCGATGATGTGCACTGTATGCGTTGAGATGCCGATCAATAAATTTGGAGTATCGCTCGAGAAGAGCGGAGCAGCTGGAATGGACTATTACAAATGGAGCGGTTTGCTTCGAAATTATATGCGAGACAATGCTCTTTGCGTGGCAGGTGCCGACTTTGATGCAAAATCACGCAAGATACGACGCGTAGCTCAGCCGACAGTTGACAGCGATGACGTTAATAAACTATATGTGGAAAAGAGCTTTAAACTTTTGAGAGAGCAGCATGAAGAATTGGAGAGGAAGCTGGTCATGTTTCAGAGAGATATGTTGACGTTGCAAAACAGCGTTCAAGAGATATCACGCGCATTGAATCCGCAGCGACAATGCGAAGGAAAATCATGCGAGACGGTTGAACTTGACCAGAATTTCCTCGAGCCGATGGGGAGCACATAATATATGTACACGATAATTATCGCATCATTCGTGTCAAAGACATCTCTGCGATCAAACATGCAACCAATATCGAAATCCGAGAGTAATGAAAGCCATAGTCTCAAGAAGCGACAACTTGTTGAGGAATTGCATGCTCCAGCTCGAAGACATTTCCCGCGGAGACACGTCATAGTGCATGGATACGATGATCTGTGGCAAGCTGACGTTGTAGAAATGCGTCCATACTCGCGATTCAACCGAGGTCATCACTATATACTCACGGTCATCGATGTGCTGAGCAAGTATGCATGGGCGGTACCGCT